AGTTGGGGTCCGGTTGGGGCCCTCTCTTTGTTTCTCTCTCTCTCTCTCTGATTTTTTTTTTATCCGACACAACAACGGCAGTCGCCATCCATCTCTGCGCTGCTTTTGTATCACCTCCTCCTCCTCCTCCTCCTCCTCCTCTCCTTCTTCGCCTGCGCTTTGCCTTTGCCCGCTTGCTCGCTCGCCTTTCTGCCTGTTCGAAGGTGGTGTGGAGGTCTATCGTTTGAACCAGACAAAACCAACCAACAGATCGCTGCAATCAAGTCCTATCCGAGGTGCAGCCAAGTCGTCGATCTCGCTCTTGGGGCCCGATTAACCAACCAACCCCAAGACACCCCGCGCCCTCCCCGCGCCGCCCGCTTCCTTCTTTCTTTTCGTTTTTGTTGCCTTCCACTCGCTCAGGCTTCTAGTTTCCTTTCAGAAGCTCTCTCTGGATCCTGGCGCATCCTATCCCAACTTTGCGCCCTGTTGTTGGCTGAATCTAATCTCAGCGCTTCCCCGCACATGACAACGACGTGCGCAGCGGGCGGCTGATTGTCTTTTCGCCCTTTTTTCGTGTTTTCATCTTGACCACACCCTAACCGGACTGGATCGTTGATATTTTTTCCCCTTGGTGATTGCATCTTCCTTTCCTGGCCGCCCGCCACCTTTCACAGCACCTTTCCCCTCACAACCGCAAGACCTCTTCGTCTCGGCCTGACGCTGGACGCCTGCCCCGCACCATGGCGGTGCTCGGCACTCGCATCTGGCCATGGGGCTTGCTCCTGGTCACCCTTTTGAGCTGTCTCTACTTATCTTCCGTTTCAGCTCAGACTGCCGACCCCTGCGACGGTGATCTGACTAGTGTCGAATCTTGCGACTGTGAAGTGTGCAAGGACCACAATAGCACCTGGCTCGAAGGCAAATGCTGCATCTACAAGGGCATCCCCGCAACCTTGCTGGCTTTTGAACAAGCATCCCAATGGTCGACTCGCCTCAAAGAGTTCAATCTCTGTACCGGTGCCCGTGTCACGCTGACGTACAACGGGCCTGACGGTCAGGGCAACGAGGATACCATGGAGGCCGATATTGCCGGGGATGTGGGCATCTCCTACACTGTCTCGGGTGGAGCCAAAGTTGAATCCAGTGGCGCAGGTTTGTGTCTCGGCTTGCTGAAACCTCTGACCTCTCAACCTCTTATTGCTTCTCCTACACCATGATTCTCGTCCTTCGCCCGTCACTGTAAACACACCTTGTCCCTCGTAGGCATCTATGACGCATACATTGTTCAGCCACCTTGGCTACCAGCCATCATTGATGGACTCAGCAACTTGAGCCCCTTCATCGCCAGTTCTCCCGCCCTCAATTGGAACGATGTCAACGCCGCCCTTCGTGCTTCCGTTTCCTTCAACAACAGCGTTCGGGCGCTTCCCCTCGACTCGGATTATGTTGCCATTGGCTATCGTCAAGACGTTTATGACAAGTGAGCCACAATTTTTCGTTTTTCCTCCGCAAACTCCGTTCCCAGCTTTCAAGCTTCCGACTGTGACGAAGGTTGTATGCCCCGCTGCCTTGCTGCCCTGATTGACCACACTGCCCTCTCCTTTTTTCTGACGCGCATTGACACACAGATATGGCATGAAGGCTCCCGAAACACTCGAAGAACTTGTTCAGCACTCCGAGTTCTTGAGCGGGCGTGATCACAATGACGATGGCGAGCCAGATTGGGGCTATTGTTTGACCCCACAGGTACAACGCTCTTGTCCATCTGAAGGATTGTTTCGTACCTGTAACATCTTGCGTCGCTACTACGATGTCTTTCAACAGCCCGAACGCTTCAGCTCCGACCGCATCTCACCGCATCTCACCCTTTTGCTTTCTCTCGGTCCAGGTCAATTACATGATGGCCTTTGTAGCCCCTGTGCTTCAGAAGTCTGTGCGGGCTTGTGAAGCTGAGGGCCTCTGTCAAGGCGCGCCGACCGGTGAAAACGTGTTTTTCAACGCCACCAATATGGAACCCCTCGTCAATAACGCTGGCTTTAGATATGCCATTCGCCTCTTCTTTCGCCTCTTGGCCAGCTCAAACTGCGTTGACGAATTGGCGCCCATTGGTACAAACAGCTATGCTCGAGGTCAGCGCCATGCGCTCACACTCACTCAAGCCTGCTGAATCTCGCCTGCTCTCGGTCCAAGGTTGATCCGTACCTGCTCATGATAGCTTCCCCCTTCCTTTCTCCCTTTCTTTCTCTCTCTGTCTCGCGCGCGAAAACAGGCAAATGCGATCGTAAAACAGCCTTTAAGACTGGCAAATGCGCTGGTGTCATCTCCATGCCGGGCACATTGAACGAACTGCTCCTACCCACGGGCTCACTGACCATTAATCCCCGGCTTTATGATAACGGCTCGATTGAGTGGTACCCCACCCTTTCTCAGAATAGCTCGGGCGGTTACTGGGGCCGACGCCACATCTTTCCCGGCAGTGATCAAGTTTGGGATCACACCAATGATGTGGTCAAGACGTGCACTGCTCAATTGTGCCCCAAGGCATTGCCACACAGGCAAGATCCGGGCCTCTTGGTCAACTATGCCCCCTTCTTTGCTGAAGGTGGTGAATCGTACAGCATCCGTGATTCTACCTCGGAGCGGCAAAAAAATATCATGCAAGATCTCTTTGGTTGGCTATCATCGCTTCCCATTGACTTGGTACCTCTGACAGGCCAGTACCGCCGGTCACAAGTCAGCCCCGAAGCTGAGCAATCTCTTGTTGACAGTGGCTGGCCCCCCCAAGCTGCAGCCGATCTCCAACAAGTACGTGTCTATTCCAGTCTCTGGTCGGGCTTGTCTTGCAAAAAAATACATCTAAAAACACCAAGTGTAGTTGCGGATTGGTCAGATTTTGGCTTTTGGTTGGTCCTGATTTGCGAACGGTGTTCGACGTGGCTATAGGTGCTGAGCTTCATCTTTACAGATGACATAGCAGGTGGTAACCCGGTGCAAGACTTGCTTATGATTGGCTTTTCCGATTACATGACAGAGCTAAAGCTGCATTTGTTGGATGACTTTCTCCTCGACGTGGATTTGCTCAACACGCCAAAGGGCAAGCGGGATACCTTGTTTGCAGAGCGCCTTGAGGTTCACATTCAGGTGCGTGCGCTTGGCTGCAATTTGTCACCACATCGCATGACCTGCTTTTTTGATAACTTGGTTCAACGCCAAGTGACACCCTCGACGTATTGACACCCCGGGCCCTCACAACTGGGCCATGGTATAACCAGGCTCTGCATAATGCGTATTGGAGCATCACGGAGCGTTACGGCGTGTTGCAACAAGTACATCGCTGGCGCTCCTCCCTGGACCTCGAGGCCATGTCTGATGCAGAGATTTGTTCCTACTTCAGCAACGAGCGGCGACCTTCGACCTGTCCCACATCCGAGTCGGTGGGGGACCCTTCGCCTGTCGCCAGCGACGATGGATTGGAATCAGGGTATATCGTCGCAATTGGTATGTGTGCCGGGCGAAAAAAAACTTTTGGTCTGGTTTCTCGCCTGCCTTCGTCTTGCACGTGTCCTTATCGCTGAAACTGCTTTTGGTTGCAGTCATTAGTGTGCTGCTTCTCTCCCTGATTGTGGGCTTTTTTCTTTATCGTCGACACCAGCAAAAAATCATGCAACAGTACGTCACCACGTCCACCTCCCAGCTCCACCCCCCCCCCTTTTTTTTTTCTTCCTCTTGAGCCCTGCAGAACGTGGGGCTGGCATTCACGCGCGCGCATTGCTCTTCCCTGCACTTTTATGCCCGGCCTGATGTGCGGTGGTATAGGCAACTCAGCCTTCAGCAAACCTCTCGGATTGCTGAGCTAATTCAGGAAGAGTTTGTAGCGCGATTCGGCGCCGATGCGGTGCGCGATCAAAAGTTTGAGTCACTTCAAGTGAGCAAGGACCAAGTGGAAATCGGAGCACGGATTGGGTACGAAAGCTGTTTGTATCATGACGCTTTTCAGCATGCTACTCTTGCTTGCCTTTCGCACTCACTCCGCTTGCAATGCTTGCAAACATGAAGCGAGGGAGCTTTTGGAGTGGTCAACCTGGGCGTTTTTGTTGATACCTCGGGCAAGCGGCAAGACGTGGCCATCAAGAGAATTAATCACGATGCTGGCCGCGATGAACAAGAGGTGGGGACCTTGACTTGCTTGTTCCTCTGCGATCACTTGACAGAGGCTCCTTGGCACCTTTTTGCTCACCGCATGTGGTCCGTGTTGCTACTTGAAGACATTCATGTACGAGGCGCGCTTGCTAGCCATGTTGGATCATCCCCACATTGTCAAGGTGTATGGTGTGCAGTGTGCGACCAAGCCCATCATGCTCGTTCTGGGTAGGTATTGACCAACTTTGCTTCGGTCTCCGAACATCTTTTGATCGCAACCACAGCAACTTGGTGGTCAGAAATGGAGCGAGCTCTGTCTTCATGATCATGTCATTTGCGCTTGTGCATGTGTAGAGCTGATGCCTGGCGGAGATCTAGTCAGCGCGCTGCGATCTGTGTCTGAGGGGTTCTTTGCTGAAACAGAGCTGCTCAGCGTCTGTTCGAAGATTGCCGATGCCTTGAGCTACTTGGAACGTTGTAACATTGTGCATCGAGTGCGTCACCAATCGTGGCCTACGTTGTGCTTTGGTCTACGCTTTTGTTTTGTTTTTTGTTTGTTTTTCTCGCCTTTTGGCCAAGGCCATCTTCTTGATTGAACACTGACTGAAGCTGCCCGTGGCACAATTTGTAGGATATTGCCGCTCGAAATGTGCTGGTTGGTCGCCATCGCCTCGAGGACGTGCGCCTCAATGATTTTGGCATGAGCCGTCTTCTTGGTGGTGGCTCGGAGTACTGTACGTTGCGTTTGAACCGTTGCTGTGCACCACTCACTGCTTGCCAAGTTGAGCGGTGTGCCGGCTCGATACTCACGCGTTTGCTTTGTTTGCTCTTCCTCTTCTCATCCCGAAACAGACAACAAAAAGTCTGAGGATGCCGTGCCTATCAAGTGGCTTGCACTCGAGGCGATTGAGAAGCACCAGTACACACATGCGAGCGACGTGTTTGCTTGGGGTGTCTTTGTTTGGTTCGTCACGATTGCTTGCGTTACAAAGATGGCGCGCTTCTCTCAAGGAGCGGGTAGCAGTGTCTCTTCCAACACCGCTGGCAACGCCTCTTCTGATCTTTCGTGCCTTGGGTCTGGGCTTGCGGGGTTCTAGGGAGGTCTTCTCCTATGGCGCGGCACCGTGGGCTGTGTACACGGCTGTTGAAACGGTTTTGGCCCTGTCTCGCGGCGATCGTCTACAGCGACCGCCGGCATGCCCGCACCGGCTATATGAGCTGTTGTTGAGCTGCTGGGAATCTGACCCAGACTTTCGACCCAGTTGCCGCGACCTGACACTTTTTTTCAAGTGCGTGACTCGCTTTTGTGCGCCTTGGGCCATGCCGTGGTTTTGAGAGTTCCCGTGGCAGTTTGTAGCCGTTCCTCTCACAGCCGGTGCTTTATTCGTTTGTGCTTCCATCCTGCACAGGAAAGTCAACGGTGTGTCCAAGCTATCGCTTCGCGAAGCGAGACGCACACAGGCCACAGTCACTTCGACCGGCACGATGTCGGCGTCGAACGAAACGACGCCAAATCCGAGTGGCTATGCAGGTGTGCGTACACAGGCTGACCTGGCCGCTCTGCTTGCACAGCGGAAGCGGGTGTCAGGCGAAAGCCTTCGTACTCCCGACACGTCATTGGGTGGCGTCGTCGACGAAGTGTTGGAGCAGGTGGGTCGAGTGAAAGCAAACGCCCTTGGGCGCTTGAGTGAAGAACACCCGGGCTTCCGCCTTGACTCGACCAGCGGGGAAACCACGCCAGCGCAAAGTTTGCTTGATACAGCACATCAAAGCACGGTCGTCCACTCGACGACAGGTGGATCACCGATTGGCCCACCTTCACCCACAACCACGACAACGCTGCCGGATGCGCAAATGCCCCGCAACTCGAGCAACGATATTCAGCAAACTACCTTGCTTTCACGCTCCAGTTATGATCGAGCCGCCGCACCGGTTCTCATTTTTGAACGGTACGTTTGAGTTCATTTTACCAGGCTCCACATTGACGTTTTGTTTTGCTGTATCATCTCACGCCTACTTCCGGCCCTTGTCGCACCTAGGCCTGTCACACGATCATCCACCGTCCTCTAAGAGTTGGCTTTTCAGTGCATCAAAAAGCAGATCAACCCGAGCTGATAACTTGCCCGCCTGATCATGAGCGTGTGCTCCGAGTGCGTGTCTGTGTCTGTGTCTGTGTCTGTGTGTTTGCCTGCATCGCAACGCAAGGCTTTGCACAATATGAATAAAAAACGGGACTTGAGACTGTGAACGAGGGAGTGGGCTGTGCCCGAACCTCGTCGAGGATCATGATTAAATTGACTGGCATCTTGATACCATAACCCTGCGCTGATTCAACCAGCTCCCTTGGCACGCAGAGAGGTTTAGATTTTTTGAAAAACCCCCTCTTACAAAAACAGAGTACGCAGAGACAGCTGTAATGTGTGTGTGTGAGTGTGTGTGTCTACATGTGCGTCATGTGTTGAAAGGGGAATTGTATGGTGTGTGGTGGCTGTGCCCTCCAAAGCCCCAGAGAGAGGGCGCGTCCTGATTTTTTTTTTTTTTTTCCTTTGACTGTGTGAGGAGGTTTCATGGGCTGCCCTTGACCTCGGTGCTGCTGCTGGCTATCGCTGTCTCTGCCATTGCTTGGATTCCTTTGAAGTGAAGGGCGTGCTGAGCTCCAACACTACAGAAACGTTGTCAAGTGCAAGTCTGAATCCAGCGATCCTGCACGACCACCGACCATGTCCAAAGCTGCCAAGCCTCAGCTAGTGGCACAGCTTCAGGGTCAGCATACCGGACCCATCAATGACGCCATCTATGTGCCTGACCACCATGCCGCCATCTCTGTGAGCGATGATAAGTGAGTTGCTCAACTGTCGTGTCCCCGGATGAAGCCGCCTCTCGTCGAAGGCGCTTGCGCGGTCGACAGTCCTTCTCTCGATCCCTGTCCTCCTTCCGCTGTTTCCTTCTTGCCCGAGCAGCTGAGTTGCTATAGCTCAAACGGCAGCGTGTGCTTGTCGAAATGAACGCATTGAGTTATTTGTGCATGGTCAGCCCGACTCATGCGGTGCCTTGTTGCATCATCTGTGCGCTTCGCGTAACATGCGCGACTCGTGATTAGAAACGTCTTGATTTGGCTGCGCCGCGATGACGGGACCTACTGGCCGTCAGTGTGCCACCCCATGCCCTTTGCACCGACAGCGCTGTGCTATCATCACGAAAGCCGACGTCTTTTTGTGGGCATGGACCAGGGCTCCATCTCGGTGCGTCCGCATGCATGGATATAAATCTCGGCCGTTTTGACGCTCGCCCTCCTGGCCTCGACTTGAAAAAGGGCCTATTCACCCACTGTGTACCTGCGCGGCCCATTCAGGAGTATGTGGTGAGCGAGGATTTCAATTCCATGACCACCACACGTACCATGCCCGCTCACTCGGGCCGCGTGCGCTGCATTATCTACGACCATGAGCGCCAACTCGTGCTGAGCGGAGCCCATGACAAATGCATCACCCTTTCCAGTGCTGCTGATGGCAAGCGTCTCAGCGCCCACTCGCGTCCTGCTTGGGTCACCAGCCTGCAGGTATACATAGGCTTTTTTATTTCTAAGCTTGACTATCGCCACACACTGGCCTCACAGGCTCGCTGCTGGTGCTGCCCGTGTAGTATGACGAAGACACGCAGAACGTATTCGTGGGCGATTATCGCGGCCTCATTGGCGTCTTGAAGATTGTCAACAACAAACTGCAGTTCATCAGCAACTTGGAAGGTCACGATGGTGAGTCTGTCCTTCTCATGACTGGGCTGTTCTGATGCCTTGTCAGCTCAGCTGGGTTGTCCGCCATGGTCCGTTTCCCGTGTCAAAACACTGTTGCTTGCAGGGAGTGTACGCTCCTTGCTGTGGGTCCCCGAACGCGGCTACCTTTTTTCAGGGTCATTCGACAAGTATGTCTGCCCTGCCCATGATCAACATCCCATCCTTGTGCTGCTGCTGCTGCTGCTGCTGCTGCTGCTGTCTCGCGGCTCGTGACTTAATCTTGCCCTCAAAAATTCGACATCATACAGGACGGTCATTTGCTGGGATGTTGGAGGCAACAAAGGCATTTCCTATGAATTGACTGGCCACAGGTGCGATCGACTTTCTCTGTGCAGCTAACCCACACCATTGCCTTGACCCTGCTCATTCCTGTGTTTGCTTTCTGTTTTACAGGAACAAAGTCCGCGGGTTGGCATATGTGCTCGCCGAAGATATCCTCATGTCCACGGGTGATGATGGCATGCTGGCTCTCTGGAACATGAAGGCGGAGCGTACACCAGTAAGAATGCCATGTTTTGCTGGCCCTCGACCCTGCGCTAAATGTTCTTCTCGACTCCGTGCTCTCATGGTCTTACATGTTTGGTGCAACTGTACCCCGATAGACCCCGACATGGCAGGATGGTGATCTCTGCGCGCTCTGCTCGGAGCCCTTTTTTTGGAACTTCAAGGCCATGTGGCACAAAAAGTCCATCAGCTTCAAGCGCCAGCACCACTGCCGCCGTTGCGGCAAGGCCGTGTGTGACAAGTGCAGCCCTTCACGCCAAGCGTACCCAGTAATGGGCTTTGAGTTTGCTGTTCGCTTCTGCTCAACATGTGCCACCGAAGTCAAGGATGAGCCGTACGTCTGTGTCGTTTGGAATGGTGGAAATCATGGTGTTACCCGAACTCCTAGCATTGGCCCCAGTGTGCTCAAACTCTGGCTCGTGTGTGCCGAATGCCGCGTGGTGCCCTTCACGCTTGTATAGGAAAATTTCACTGGTCAAGCACTTCCCCATGCAACACGAAATGTTGGGTCTGCGCTATGACCCCGAATGCTCTATCATTACCATTTGGTCCAATGACGGCGTCATCAAGGCACGGCATCCTTGTCTGGTGGTTCGCTGGCACCGTTCCCATGCCTCACTCATACAGAGACTGTATGTTCAACTTTTTGTCGATAGCTTCTGGACCCATCCCCAGTTCTGGCCTCCACGGCCGCCTTTTTGAGTGCCCAGGAGGCACAGGCCACGGCCATTGCTGCACATGATGGTGATGACGGTCCTCTTCCCGCACCTGGCGCTGACAAAGACAGCACGAAGGTGGTGGACATGACACAACGCCCCACCAGTGACGATGAAGGTGTGTGTTGACATGACGTGGCCTGGAGCATCTCCTCAAATCGTAGAGCCTGATCATCTATTCATGCCACGTGCACCGGTACTCCAATGCTCACGGGCCGGTCGTATATCATCGCAGATGATGCCAGTGGCGACCTGCTATCCGAAGTCGTGGGTGCAGAGGATCATGACAACTATTAATCCTCTTTCAGAGAGCATCAACCCTCTGCCATGACTACAGTCGCGTGGACTTGCGTCCGCCCCTCTGCATGGATTACGAACTTGTCGTTGGCAGGGCATTAAGAATCGGGACATGCCAACCTCACCGCGGGCCATGGATTATGCAGGCATTTTGCCATGAGTTGTCAACCATTGTACCACGACCTGCATATGGGGATTCAAATGAAGCCAATCGGGAGTGGCCAGTGTGAGCGCGTTCAAACGATTCACATTTCATTCCTCTCTCCCTCTCTTTCTTTCTTTCTGTCTCTCACCTTTACCTTCCCCTCCGGTTGTGTGCCGTTTTATGCTCGTTCCTGACTCCTCATCGCACGTGGGTTAGAAAGACGAACCTCGTATTGTTGTCGTGATTTGGCGTGATTTGGGTCATATTGCATTGCCAGACGCAAATCATGTAAGCACCCGGCATAGTCCTGGAGATAGAAGCGCGCAGTTCCCCGATTGAATAAAAGCTCCACGTTGTAGGCGTCGCGCTCGAGTCCTTGCCTGTTAAGACGCCGTTGATGATCAACAACAAGCGGGAGAAAAAGGCCACAGTGCATATCAGAGGTGGATGAGGCGCGTGTTTGGAATGACGCTTGGTCAATCAGCTTGAAAGGCGAGTTTATAAAAACAGAGGCATCACTTGCGTAAAATAGTGATCGGCTTGGCGGTTGTTACTTTGGACGGCGGCAATGACACCAAGTCCCAGATACGCCGATGGGTGATGGGGATCGAGCTGCACCAGGCGCCACACTCGTCAGCGGGTGGTGGAAGCACGACGGCTTGAAAACACCTTGCCTAAACCTACCTGCATTGCAAGCTCGAAATAAGGCTTGGCTTGCGCGTAGTCTTGCTGCTGGTAGTAGAGGGTAGCAATAGCCGTCACAATGCGAAGCGAGGTTCTGGTTGAATCTTTTTTCTCGAGGCCTTGCGTGAGCACTTGAAGAGCTTCTTCATACTGGCCACGATTCTGCAAGAGCGTGCCAAGATTCAGGTGCGCTGAAGCGTCTGAGGCGCTGGCTGACAACCGATCGCGAAAGAGGCGTTCGGCCTCATCCAACAGTTCAGCACGACGGGTCACATTTGTTTCTTGTTGAGCCGCCTGTGATTTTTTTTTTTTTTTGTCCAAAGTGACATGGAGTGAGTACAATGGGTCTTGCCAGCCCCGACATGCGTTTGCTGCATGCGATATGGTGGTGAGGTTGCTAAAATAGCAGATTTCAGCCTTTGTACCTGAGACATGAGCTGACCCAGGTTGATCGCAATCTTGCTGTTGGCGGGATGCGTTCGATGTCCCGCAAGGTGCAAGCTAAGAGATGAAGATCAGGCCAATAAAAAACCAATCTTGAGTGGAGGCAAAAGGTGTGGATGGCAGTCAGAGTAGGTTTTTGGGCTGACATCCGTTGCCATTTGTGAATGGTGTACCTGTAGTCGGTTTGCCAGTCAAAGCTTCGTTGAACAGACTGAGCCGCCATGGCCAAGAAGACGAGGCTAGCTAGCAAGAGGATACCGCGCGGGCCCAAGCGCGTTGACAGCCATCGTGCAGCCACGCCTGCCAAGAGGCAAAGGCCAATGCTGGGCAGGTAGAGAACCCGCTCGGCGATTACAAAGCCCACAGGAAAGAAGAGGTTGGACGCGGGCAGAAAAGGAAGGACAAGCGCGGCAAGGCCCAAGAGGGTCACCATGTGCAGGCGGCGCTTTTGCAACTGCTGCTCCTGATTGCATGAAATGGCAGACCACGGCCGTAGCAGGAGCCAAAGAACTCCCACGATTGCCACCCCATAAACCAGCATCAATGCGCCAAACCGGGGGTCCAGCGGTGACTCGAGGAGCGGTATTGTTTCGTGGGACCAATCATGACATAAGTTCAACGGCAGGACTAGGAGCTGAAGGTTAACCACGATGTAGTAGTTCATGGTGGCCCACTTTGTAAAGCCGGTGGCAAAGGCGGCGGGTACTTCATTGGCATTGAAGATGGGAGCCTGCTGGGCGTTCAGTTGTACACGCACAAGCAAGCTCAAAACACCAATGGCAGCAAGGCTGACGACGAGATTGCGCACCCGCTGCTGAAGCATAGATTTGAGCAGCAATCCGAGCGGCGAGCCTTCCGTAGTCCAATTGGCCTGAAGGCAGATGGCCAGGGCAGCCGCCGTGCCAAGCGCTGTGATGCCTTGTTCCTTGGCTAGCATAGAGCAAATGGCACAGAGAGCCACGCAGAGAACTTGAAGGGGCCAGGACCAAGTCCTGTGAGGCAACGAGAGGTGGAGTTGTGCAGCACGATAAGAAAATCGGCACATGAAAGCGACAACGGCAAGAGCAAGCGATCCAAGATCCAAGCAAAGAAAAGACGCGGACCGACTGGCAAACGCCAGCTTCCTCGTACTTGTTGAGTACGACCAGCAATGCCGTGAGATAGAGAATGCCGGCCAGAATTTCAGCGCGACCCACGATATTGCACACCTGGGAAGGCGAAGACGTCAGTGAGCAACCAAAGCGTGCACAGCGGGCGAGGGGGGGGCAAGATCAGCTGTGTTATCTCAAAGACAGGTCTACGAACTGCTTCCGTGTGGATGGGGTGCACTGCAAAGAGGAGGGCAGTGACAGCGGCCGGAAGGCGATCACGGTCAAACAGATGCCATGCCAGTCGGGCCATCATGAGACTTGCCACTGTGTGCAGCAGTACATTGCCCCAGTGAAAGCCGGCCGGGGCCATGCCCGCTAAAAGATTGTTCAACTTGAAGGTGGCAACGGTCAAGGGCCGGTAGGACTTGTGACTGCGCGCTGCCGTCATGGGAGTTCTGTTGCACCGGACGATGGTTGATGAAGAGGTCGGGTGGTTAAGCATTGGCTGCAGAGACAGAGGTGTGTAGCAGATTGAGGTTCAACTGGAGCAAAGCCGGCGTGCCCACATACCCCCAGAAGTCATGAGCCCAGAGATCGGACCAAGATGTGTCGAGACGGACGTCGGGGTTGGCCACCACCCCACGCGCATCATCAAAGACAAAGTCGCCTTGGAGGGAGGGCAGATGTACAGCAATGGCAGCAGCTGCAACCAACAGATATACGGGGACAAAGCTGTAACGTGTGCGGGGTGTTGCCACAAAGGTGGTAGTGCCGGACTGTGTCTGGTTGTGGGTCTGGCGATCAGTCTCCCTCGCTTCGCTTGCCTGATCAGTGGCAGACACTTGGCGAGGGCGGCGGCGCACGGCTGCCAACGGCACCGAGCGACGCGTCATCTTGCCTTCTGCGCGAATTACCTACGCGATTGGGCAGCCACCCTCGGCCCTTGTCCCAACACCCCGTTTGTCGATGCGATCCTTCAGATCACACAGATGGCCCGGTAGAGCAGCACCTCGTTCGAAATGGGGGGGTGAAAAAACACGAGAAACATCTGACATTATTTTCATTCATTTCATTGGAATTGTCAGCAACGTGACATCGAATGAATGAATGAAAATGTGTACATGTACTGTACTTTAGAGGTGGCATTTTCATCATCCGATCAGCTTTTTGCCTGCAAGCCGTGTCTCCTCTTCTCTTCGGCAACATTCTGAAGAAGTATTAACACCTGGTAGCGGGACTTGGATCGCCTTTTGTGTTTTTTTCTGTTTCTGTTTTTTTTTTTTTTTTTTTTTTTCTGATTCATATGGTTCTTGGTGATTGGTGAGTGGTGTGGGGGAAATGGGGGGCGATGGGAAGGGGTCAACGCATGGCAGCCGGGTCCTTGAAAGTGAGGGGAAGTTTGACAGGCAGGAACAGAAGGAGGGTGTGCGCTCGGACAGAGGTGTCTGCGCTCTTTTGCTGAGCGATGAGGCCGGCAATTGGATCAAGCCTCTTCTCGTCGGCTTGATGATCATGATCACCGCCTCTCATCCCTCTTGGGCCTGCGGCTTGTACATGCGGTATTAGACCCATTGTTTGCCCGTTACATCTGCGGCGGTTGCAAGTGTGCTTGTCATTCGTGCGTGTGGCCAACGCTACGGCCCGGGCCAGAGCTGCCTTGTTGTGGTACGAGACCCGGCCTCCGCGCGCAATTGTCAGAGGGCGCGGTGTGTTGGTGTTGACTGGAATCTTCCCTGCAGCAACGCAGTGCGTCGTGCAAAACGCCATCATCTCATCCCACGGCAATCACGCCTGTACGCGCGCTGCTCCATCAGGTGAACTCTCAGGTTAAACCTGGTCTTCTACACCAGCAGCCGCGACCATGGCTGACTTGACCTTTCCCAGCAACTACGATGCTTATGAGCTCGTTCACATGATTGGTGCGATTGGAGAGCGCGTGCTGGATTCTGCCCAAGTTCTGGATGCCTGATAAACACCCGCGCTTCCTTCCCTCCTCCACAGGCACGGGCTCCACCGCAAGAGTGGCTGAGATGCAGGTCAAGGAAACGAGCAAGGATGTTGCAGTCAAGGTGTGCTCTTTGGTCTCCTGCTTCTGCGCTTATTTTTCTGGTCCAGAGTAATTATCTCATGACTGTCATGTTTTGCCGCAGATGATCGATCTGGAGAAAACTCCGGCTGACATCGAGGAGATTATCGTGCGTTTCCGCAATCTTGCGTGCCTTTCGCTTGCAAAAGCCAAACCCCACTCCCGACCTTTCCTTGGCTCCATCTCATGTGCCTTGACTCGACCGCGCATGATGGATTGTGGACAACTCCTTTGCTTGCATGCGTTTGTGTTGTGTCTTATTAGACCGAGCTCAGCATCATGCGCAACAGCGAACATCCCAATCTGGTCCGCCTTTACACATCGTTTGTGCACAAGAACGAGCTCTGGATTGTCATGGAACTGATGGATTACGGTACGTTTCAACGAGCAGTTGTGCCAGTGCACATGCTTGAATATGGTTCTGCCTTTTTTGCATCAGATTGTTATCCCTTTATAGCATCAAACTGACTCTTTTTGTGGTGGTCCCTGTCGCTTTCTCTCTCTCCTGCCCCCTATGCCTCCCTCGCTCCCTCTCTTCTTTTCGACCATGGGACTAGGCTCCATGCTCGACATTATCCGTTACAAGAGCGTTCGAACCAAAGGTAAGCCTACCGTTTTGTTGCTGTTCCTGACCTTTTTTGCAATGTCATTTCAAATGTTTGGCCTGAGCCGCTCATGCTCCTTTTTTGCTGCGTTTGTTGTCGCCGTTGCATCGGGATCCTTTGTCATTCCGATGACGACAGGCGGTGTCCTTTCCGAGAACGTAATTGCAACCGTCATCAAGGAGGTGTTGCAGGGCCTGGATCACCTTCACCGCAATATGAAAATTCACCGGTAGGCATCATTGCTCCTCGACCCCTTGTGCGCGTACCAAGCAGTTGTTGTCACCATGAGGAATCGTTCCACCCGGCACTCAAACTCGCCTTGTGCATCTGATTCCTTGCTTTGGACGCTTAGTGATGTCAAGGCCGGGAACATCTTGCTCAACGCGAATGGCGAAGTCAAGCTTGCCGGTAGGCTGTGCCTTCATTCGTCCTGCATCTTGCCTTGCTCCGCGTTTGGGGTGCACCTTGACCGGGTCTCGCTAAAACGTTACATCGTACCAACACTCATTGACATTTTTTCCTTCTGCCATCAAGATTTTGGCGTGAGTGCCTTTCTTGGAGACACGATGGAGGCTTCGTACGAAAACGCCGCTCTGGCAGATGCCTCAAATGCCAAGAAGATGCGGAGCAAAAATCTTGCGGCCGATACGCCCGCGAAGATGACCTTTGTCGGCACGCCCTGTTGGATGGCGCCTGAGGTCTTGGAGCAGACGACTGGGTACAACACCAAGGCTGACATTTGGTCGCTTGGTATTACGGTTATTGAGCTGGCCACTGGCGTCGCGCCCTATGCATCCAAGGATCCTCTTGAGGTCATGCACAAGATTCTGCGTGAAGAGCCACCCACCCTACAAACGGTTGGTGAGGAGACCGCGCGGGCCTACAACGACTACAAACAGCTTCCCAAGTTTATCAAAAAGTGCCTGGAAAAGGACACTGCCAAGCGCCCCAGTGCTGTGGACCTGCTGAAGAGCTCGCTCGTGTCCAAGTTTGCGCGTGATGCCGAGTACCTGCGTATCAACCTCATCAATGAGCTGCCTCGGGATTACCGTGACTACACGACCCAAGGGAATGCCAGTGACCCTCCACAACTCTCCGGCACGGCCAGCAGTGGGCGTTTTCTCTTCAAGCTCAACACGATTGACCTGTCTCAAGACGTGGAAACGATGGCTGCCATTAATGTCAGGCCCGCACGCACTGCCTTTTTGCATGCTCGTCATGTTCGCACGTCCCTTAATACATGTGTGCTGCCCTTTTTCCTTAGGCCCAGACCGAGGTGGATGAGCAGGCACAGGCGGAGGCAGACGGTACGTGTTGGCTGGGCCTGTACTTTGAGATGTCTGTGTGTGCTGCGTTGTTAATGATGATCAACCTCCCCCCCCACATCTGTTACTGCACCAACGTTTTGTTGGTCCTCACACATCTATTGTTCGTCTTGCTTATCATACGGAAATGAATGGTAGCTGCTGCTGCCGCCGCCGCTGCCGCCGATGCGACCCCAGCGCAAAGCGAGGCGGCATTTGTGCCGATGCTCATGAAGGTGATTATTCACGAAGAAAATCACGAGGTCGTTGAGATTGAGTTTGAGCTCAAGCAAGGCGGTATGTGGAGCTGGGGTTCTGATCCCTATGCACGTTCATCTTTTCCTGTTGTTGTTGTTGTTGTTGTTGTTGTTGTTGTTGTTGTTGTTGTTGTTGTTGTTGTTGTTGTTGTTGTTGTTGTTGTTGTTGTTGTTGTTGTTGTTGTTGTTGTTGTTTGTTTTCAGAGGACGGAGGATCTGGCGAATGCACGTGTGCAAGTTGACGCTGGGCTTGTGTTTGGTGGCCGCACGTTTTGCGAACAGAAACTGGTGAAGGCATTGCTCAGGAACTGCTCGAGGCGGAGCTGGTGACGGGTTTTTACAAGGCGTCTGCTATTGGCAAGGCCATTGACCAGCTTATGGCCCAACCTGAGCTGCGCCACCTGATTTTGGACCTGAAGGATACATTGGACAAGCCCCCGGCGCAACCTGCCGAAACAGTGGCAAGGCCGGAGTTTGGTCAGGCATACGTGGCCATTATGGATCCACGTGATCGCACCGATAGCTCCAGTGCACCCAATGCCCCTGGCAGTGCTCAAAATGCGGTCCCAACAGGCACCACCACAGAGACGTCTCAAGCACCGCCACCGCCCGCCAGTGATCCTGGACAGTCTGGTGAGCCCAATTCCGCAAGTGCTGGCACACCAGTCATGAACCCAGTGCCCTCGTCTGTCGTTGCTCCCGAGCCAGTCTCAACGGCTCCGGCCTCGTCAGCCCCGACATCAGCCGGCGAGGTGACAAGCGAGGTTGCCAGCACTGTCCCCGCACCCACTGCCGTCGCCTCCAGCTTGACAAATCCTGCCCCGCCAAACGTGTCGCAGACAGCGCCACAAACCGCACCTAGCCCCTCCCTCATGGACTCGAACACAAGTGCATCCACCGTGCCAGAATCGGCTGCAGCTGAAATGTCTGCCTCACCTCAAGCCCCCGTCGCTACCCCGGCTCCCACTTATACGGCATCAGCCGTTGATCTGGTCTAAAGTACAAGGCTTGTCAACAGGCGCGACCCATAACTCGAGAAGCGGGCCTGTTGACATTTGGGTCTTTGTTGATTTAGAGTCGTCAACTCGTTATCGTGTTGTGTTGAGACACTCAATTTTGGTTCAAACTTGGTCGGCTCAAAGGCCTGTTGTTCAGCAGCACCTTTTGCAACGTTTTGCATAGTTTTTGGGGCCTCTTGGCATTCGCTCATCTCGCTGCGCTGACCATACAGAACGAGTTCTTGTGGGTGGATTGGTGGTCGGACAAAGCAAAGGAAAAAATAAAAATAAAACCCTCATCTAGAAACCGACTGAAGTAGAAGAAGGAATTAATTTGGAAACTTCGTGACATTCTAGCTGAGACGGCGTTTAAATTTGCGTTGCACATGAACAGGACACACACACACACAAGCTTTTTTTTTTTTCCCCCCGGGGGTACCTGCCCCAGGCTCGGACACAAGTGGTCGTGGTAGATCCACTCTTCCACCTCCATGCGCATGAACGAGACATAGACTTCTAAACCAAAAACCAAACAACAAAGAGAGAGGACGCTGTCCACTGTGGCCGTGTGCATACGTCTCGCATCGGACGCACACGGCAACGAATAACCAATGAGGCCAAAAGAAGGGAGGAATGGGAACGCAACGGAGCGGGGAGAGAGTGTTGTACACATTTGAGTGAAAAACCAAAAAAAAAAAAAAAAAAAAAAAAAAAAAAAAAAAAACAAGAGAAAAGGTTGCGAGTGCAAACAGTGATCAAAAGCGATCAGCTGGGAACTACCGGCAAGAAAGGACCTCAAGGTACGGATTGACAGCGCAACAGCGAGAGGTACATCCGGAAAAAAGCTACAAGACAGAGCCAGGGCCATCTGGGGCCATGCAAACGGTACGCGCCAGGCAAGCAGCGCCCTTAACGCCCATGAAGCGAGCTCTGCAAATAACCCTGTGGTGAGGCATGCTCAACACCCTGCAGCTGGGGTTGACCGTTGACAGTCAAATCCAAGAGCTATGGCCAAGCAATCACGCTATTATGAGTGCCACAACCTTTGCTTGCGATAGGTTGCAGCTTAAAAATGAACCATGTGGCCCCAAACACGCACTTGACCAGAGTAGGCATCCCGAACTTCGACGCGTTCCTCCGTCACCCCGTTCTGACAGGACCTGCATCCAAAAACCTCAAGTCAGGTCTCGGTACTGGGAAGCCCGCGAAAGAAGCGGCCAGGGAACGAAGGAGAAACCAAGAAGACGAGCCCCTGACTAAGGATGCATTCAGCTTACACAGTCTTGGTCACACGCTTGCCGTCGCGGATGGAGGTTGAGGTAGATTGCGAAGAAAACGAGCCGCCACCCGACATGGCGCCGCCAGACATCATGTAGCTGGTAGGAGTATCAGCACAAGCAGAGGGTGTCGGTTGGCGTGGTGGGGCTCGCGACTTTGTGGAGGAGTGAAACTTGACCTTTACTCTCCGTGACCCAATCCCCGGCTCGCACCTTTGTGAACTTGAGAAGCCGCCCATGGCTCCAAACGGTGAAGCGCCACCCATGTTGCCAAAAAAGGACGAGCCACCCATGCCAAAGGGAGAAGCGCCGCCCATCATGCTGCTGCCAAAGGGGGACAGGCCAAAGCCAGAACCACCCGCCATGCCCCCACTGAAGAAGGGGTCATTGAAGGGGCTGTCAAACATATTGCTCATAAAGTCCGAGTCTAGTCCCAAGAACGTGCCTGTGTGAGCATAGGGCCTGCGTTGCCAGCAAAAAAAGGCGAACCTGGGCCAGAGATGGGCAAACGAAACCCGGGCGTCGCGTGCGCTATGGAACTGTCAGCTAGCTAGTCTTGACGTACCGAACATGTCACCAAAGACCTCACGGAAGAGCTGATGGGCATCCCGGAACTGTGGTCCGGCACGACCCGAGGAGGCCGATGCTGATGCTTCGCCGAGCCCCTCGTGGCCGTAGCGGTCGTACAGTTGCCGCTTGGAATCTACGTAGCAGCATTCAAGGCAAGCAACATTGTTAACATGCAAATAAATTACAAGCAGTCAGATGGAGCATTTGTGACGAGGGATTTAGGCAGTGGGTCGTAGTGGGCACACACCATCCGAAAGAACCTCGTAGGCTTCGGCGACGAGCTTGAACATGGCCTCGGCTTCGGCCTCATTGCCCTGATTCTTATCGGGATGATAGCGCAGAGCAGCCTTGCGGAATCTGTCGGCCATGCCATCAAGAAAACGTGTGAGTGTCCAGCTCGGCATGTCGGGGTAGTAGACACGCATGCACACCCACACACAGGTATCAGAGTGATTGCATGGCATGGCAAGGCGGGGAAAAAAACGGGCAGCTCAAGGTGGCAAGGTAGAAGCAACGACGCACGCGCGACGAATCTCGTCCGAGTTGGCTTCGGCTTGGACGCCAAGCAGCTCGTAGTAGTCGAGCTTTTGATCAGCTGCGGTCATGATTCTGGAACCGTGTCAATCTGCGTCTTCGTATGAGAGGAAAAAATTAAGCCAAAGAAGTCGGTGCTCGAGCCTTCTGCCTGAACCACTTGGGTCAGGTCGAAATGAAACGGAATTGTTCAACTTTTGCTGTCAAGCCTTCACTCCGGTTACACGGGGAAAGCACGAAAAAAAAATGCCCAAACAAGACCGTCAGCCCACCACACAAGACAAGCTTACCTCAAGCTGGCAGACGCGCCCGATCAACAAAATCACAGCCCGTTCTTCGAATGCGAGCGTCTGCTTCAGAACACTCCTCTACAGCCAGGCGCCACGGCATCAAACAGCGAGGCTAGTCAGACCCAACGGAATGCAGCACATCACACCTGTTGTGCTGGTATACGGGTAAGCAGGGTGGAAGGGTGGCATAGGCGCAGCACCGCAGGCAGGCACAGGTCTTGACGCCGCCCGCTGTGGGCGCTGCACGCGGGCGGACAGGCGGTTGAACCTGTCATCGCGTCCTCTGTGACGCCATCACGACCGTCATCACACTCGACACGTCCGCCGAGACCGAATGACGTTCCCTTCTCACCCACCCCTCACACCCTCCTCACTGGCCCGTGCTCTTCCTTGAGGCCGCGCCCTCGCCCTCACTACAATCCGACAGCCCGGAGGGAAGGGGTCGTCCCCGCTGCCGTTGCCTCGCACGCCAGCTTCTCTCACCTGCAAACGCCTGTCAAACGCCGAAGAAAGTGCCATCTGCAACAACAGCTAATTTCATGTCGTTTTCTCACGCGCTCGACCAAGGGGACTCGAACAGACAGCTGCAACAAGTCACAAATTCGCAACAATATCCACCTGCCCGACAAAGAAGCTTCCATCATCTTCTCTCTTTCTCAAATAAAATCTGACAAACCACTGGAAGGGTGTTACACATGTAACTGTGTCGGTATTTGCTTGGAAGCCGTTTCTGCCCTCAAGCCAAGCAGCTCTTGGTTGTTTGTGCGTGTCAGTCGAAATGGCAGCGGGCGGGACGGGAGAGATGGCGACTGGGGCTGGGGTGGGCGCGAGCTGGGAAGACGTGGCCAAGATGACTGTGTATGATCATCAACAAGAGCCCTGCAGCCTTGGCAGCCTATGCTCACCCGGTCAAATGACCGCCATTGGTACGTTGGCTCGGGACAACTCTGCTCGTGTTCCGCCACCGCTCATCACGCATCACGCTACGCTGCCACCTCGCGTGTGTCGTCTAGTTTTTGTGCGGCACTTTTTATGATTTGTGTGCAAGGATTATGTTACCGATCTTGCCCGCGTGCCTGACGAGCACTGGGCTGGAGCGCGTGTGGTGGTGATTGGCTGCGCCAACCCCGTCTTTATCGACCGCTTTGCCGCTGACACCGGCTTCCCGGCCAGCAATGTGTATTGTGACCCGAAGCGTGAGGTCTACCAAGCCTTGCAGCTTCCAAGCGTCTTGGCCGCCATCAATGCATCTAAGAGTATCCACATTCACAGTTCGGCGCTTGGCGGCACGATGAACAGCATCTATCGGGGCCTTCGTGCCATGCGTGCCCAAGGCAACGTAAAACAACAAGGTGGCGCCTTTGTCGTCAATGGCCAAGGCCAACTCATCTACGCCCATCGAGACCAGCGGCCCGAGGATCATTGTCCCATCAACACGCTGCTTGAGCAAGTGGGGGGTCGACCTTTTTTTTAAATTGCCGATGAGC